CTGGCGGCATCACAATTCCGGACTTCCAGCTCTATTACAAAGCTGTCATCATCAAGACAGTATGGTACTGGCACAAAAACAGACACATAGAATGTCAATGGGACAGAATAGAGAGCCCAGAAATGGACCCTCAACTCTATGGTCAACTAATCTTCAACAAAGCAGGAAAGAATACCTGATGGAAAAAAGACCGTCTATTTAACAAATGGTGTTGGGAAAATTGGACAACCACATGCAGAAGAATGAAACTGGAACATTTTCTTACACCACACACAAAAATAGACTCAAAATGGATGAAAGACCAAAATGTGAGACAGGAATCCATCAAAATCCTAGAGGAGAACACAGGCAGCAACCTCTTCGACCTCGGCCATGCAGACTTCTTGGTAGACACATCTCCAAAGGCAAGGGAAGCAAGGGCAAAAATGAACTATTTGGACTTCATCAAGATAAAAAGTTTTTGCACAGCAAAGGAAACAGTCAACAAAACCAAAAGACAACCCACAGAATGGGAGAAGATATTTGCAAATGACAGATAAAGGGCTAGTATCCAAAATCTATAAAGAACTTATTAAACTCAACACTCAAAGAACAAATGATCCAATCAAGAAATGGGCAGAAGACATGAACAGACATTTTTCCAAAGAAGACATCCAAATGGCCAACGGACACATGAAAAAATGCTCAACATCACTCAGCATCAGGGAAATACAAATTAAGACCACAATGAGATACCACCTCACACCAGTCAGAATGGTTAAAATTAACAAGCCAGGAAACAACAGATGTTGGCGGGGATGTGGAGAAAGGGGAACCCTCTTACACTGTTGATGGGAATGCAAACTGGTGCAGCCACTCTGGAAAACAGTATGGAGATTCCTCAAAAAGTTGAAAATAGAGCTACCCTATGACCTAGCAATTGCACTACTGGGTATTTACCAAAAAGATACAAATGTAGTGATCCAAAGGGGCACCTGCACCCCAGTGTTTATAGCAGCGATGTCCACAACAGCCAAATTGTGGAAAAAGCCCAGATGTCCATTGACAGATGAATGGATAAGGAAGATGTGGTATATATATACAATGGGATACTACTCAGCCAGAAAGGATGTGAGGAAGGAAGGAAGGAAGAAAAAGAAATCTTGCCATTTGCAATGACATGGATGGAACTAGAGGGTATTGTGCTAAGTGAAATAAGTCAGAAAAAGACAATTATCATATGATCTCACTCATATGTGGAATGTAAGAAACAAAACAGGGGATCATAGGGGAAGAGAGGAAAAAATAAAACAAGATGAAATCAGAGAGGGAGACAAACCATAAGAGACTCTTGATCATAGGAAACAAACTGAGGCTTTCTGGAGGAGAGTGGGGTGGGGGGAATGGGGTAACTGGGTGATGGACGTTAAGGAGGGCACGTGATGTAAAGAGCATTGGGTATTATATAAGACTGATGAATAACCTCTGAATGACCTCTACCTCTGAAACTCATAATACATTATATGTTAATTGAATTTAAATTTAAAAAAATAAATAATTAAAAAAGGAAAGGACGTTAGGCACTGTTCAGTTGGGTAGGAAGACCCCACATTTTTAATGCTGCCAATTTAAACCAAATTTATTTTTTTTTCCTTCAGAAATGTTCAATTAACTGAGTGTAAAAGTGGAGAAAATGGATTCCTGGTTTGATCTAGAATGGGAGTTTTTCTGGTTCTCTTTTTTTTTAAATTCTGGAGCTCAATACTGAAGAAAATTTTGCTCACTATATTTTTTTTAAAAAAATAGAAATCTACAGAGTCAGAGAAGAGTAAACAATATGATAAAAAGAAAGGAGAAACCAAATAAATCCAACGAAGGAAGGTTAAAAAAAAAACAGGACTTTTCCTGCGTAAGAAAAGCCTGTAACATTCTATTGATACCGCATATGAATGAAATTAGAAGTTTATGGGACACGGAAAGATGAACAATCTCAGATGAACAGAAGTGATTGAGCAAAGAGCATTGTTACAATTAGGCAAGACTTCCCAAAACATGATGGCATTTAAACTTTGAAGTAAAGAAAGTTAAGTGTTCATCGTGGACTTGTTATAAACCAGTGGCCACATTAAACACAATACATACAATATTTTGTTTCATTCTCTTATTATTTTTCGATAGACAATAAGGAAATTTAAAGAGATTCTACCTCTCAGATCATATAGTTACAGTGCAGCACAGAAAACCTGAACCTACGTCTGTATGATTAGAAAGCTTGTTCTCTTTCCCCTATAAAGAACTTTCTTCCTGTTTCTTTGGCATTGATAGCAAGAAAAACATATCTGTGTATCCACCTGTCTTTCTGTATCTCTGTATTTCTAAGCCTGTGTATATCCAATCTATACCTAATCTATATCTGATTGTCTGTATCAGGGGTTGGCAAACTATGGCCCTTTTTTGAACAATCTGCAAGCTAGGAATGGCTTTTATGAAAACACCTAAAAAAATCAAAAGAACAATAATATTTTTTTATTAAATGATTTTATTTATTTATTTGACAGAGGGAGACACAGCAAGAGAGGGAACACAAGCAGGGGGAGTGAGAGAGGGAGAAGCAGGCTTCCCGCGGAGCAGGGAGCCCGATGCGGGGCTCGATCCCAGGACCCTGGGATCATGACCTGAGCCGAAGGCAGACGCTTAACGACTGAGCCACCCAGGCGCCCCAAAAGAACAATAATATTTTGTGGCACACAAAAGCATACATGAAATTCAAACGTCAATGTCTACAAATAAATTGCTATTGGAGAAAAGCCCCGTCATTTGAATGTTGTCCGTGACCACAAAGGCAGACTTCAGTAGTTGCAAGAGACCGTATGGTCTGAAAAGCCTGAAAGATTTACTATCTGGCTCATCAGACAAAAAGTTTGCTGATCCCTGCTTCATCATCTGGTTTTTGTTCATGGTGTTTATACTCTACTGAAAGAAGAAGTCCAGAACGGACATGTAGGTCGTAGATGTTTTCCCAGAAAACTGTTCCCAGTTACCCTCATTATATGACTCAGTCTATTTCTTTGTTTTGCAATTAGTCACCTATTTTACCTGTGTACTTATTGTCTGCCTTCCCCGGTAGCATATGAACTTTGGGGACAGAGAAGTTTTCTAATCTCTTAGCTCTTGATATAGGGTAATCCCTTTACTCTTGATATAGGGTAAGCTTCCCAAATCATTTGCAGAGTAAGTGCATAAATAAAGTGATAAAGTACCAGCCCTTGAACTGATGCTACGTTTCTGTGCTAGGCTCTCCTGGGGTTTGATGTATGCTGGTTTCATCTTTATTGTGGCTACTTTGATGGCTCTTATTGTAAAATCTGCCCAAGTTGTCGTCCTAACTGGCTTTGTGGTGGTGTTCACCCTCTTTCTCCTCTATGGCCTGTCTTTGGTGAGTTGGTAAATTTAATCTCTCTCTCTCTCTCTCAGAGAAACCAGTCATTTCTCACCAACTCTGGTCACACCTCTTCTGTTTCTGTTTGCAGTATATGAGTATTTGCATGAGATAGTATCTGGGGGGTGGGGGTGGAGGATTGGATGTTATATATTTTTATATTATGAAATTCTTTTTATTATGCTACTGATGATTCTCAGAGAATTATATACTACCTGAAGTTTTTCTCTCCTCTCAGATAACTTTAGCTTTCCTGATGAGCGTGTTGATAAAGAAACCTTTCCTTACTGGATTGGTTGTCTTTCTCCTTACTGTCTTTTGGGGGAGTCTGGGATTCACTGCATTGTACAGACATCTTCCTGCATTTTTGGAATGGACCTTATGTCTTCTTAGCCCTTTTGCTTTCACTACTGGAATGGCTGAGGTAAGAGTTAATATAACTATTTCATTTTTTACAGAACATTAAAAAATTCTCTCTGAGGAATTCATGCTCTATGTTCTAAGCATCAAAATTCTCATCTGCTTTTGTAAAGATGCACATCTAAGGTATCGGGGAGGTCTTCATTTTTCTCTCTCAGCGTAACTGGCTTTATTTTAAGTCATTCATATAGGTTGATACTCCATTATCGATGTGGTTCAGCTTTTATTTTCAATGGGTTGTCCCAATGAACAATTAACTAATTTAGTGCACAGGAAACATGACCCTTAATATTATCGCAAGTATTTGTAAACCAGGAATTCAATGGAAATAAATTTTTATTTTTAATTGGCCAGTTGTACATGAAACTGAACCTCTTCTCAGAAAATTTAATTCTAGCTGTGACATTGTAACTGTAAAATGCTACATGAAAGGTTATGTTATGTATAAACTCATTGCATCTCACTATAATGAGAAATTATTCTTGTGACCACTGAAGTACTTTCAGCTTTTCATGTTCTTACTTTCAAATAGTATCCCCTTTCTAGAATGTCCCCTCTGCCCCCATCCTACACCTGATGAAATCCTTAGGCAACCCCTCCTTTGAGTTTTTACTTCCCAGAGGATTTGCCTACTTTTTCCCATGGGTCTCTAAGTCCTTAGTACCTACCTCCACTAACTTCCCAAATTGCTTTGTAGCTAGATGGATTCACTGCTATGTCTTCCAATAGATTGGAGCTCTGTGAAGACAGGAACTGTGTTTTATTTATCTTTTCAATCCCAGGGTTCAGCAGAGATAAGACAATAATAATTCTTAATACTCTATTTATCTTTTTAAAATTCAATGTATGTATCTTTTTTCCAGCTTATACATTTGGACTATGATGTGAATTCTAACATCCATTTGGATTCTTCAGACAACCCATACCTAATAATAGCTACTCTTTTCATGTTGGTTTTTGATGCTCTTCTGTATTTGGCTTTGACATTATATTTTGACAAAATTTTGCCCAGTAAGTAGTAACCTAATTGTCATTCAATGCAATTTCATTCCATGCATTTCTATAAAATAACCGTCTACAACATATCGGGTATAAATTATCAAGCATTTTTTTCCCCAAAATTTCTAAAATGATCCCAATGGTATTCTGCACTTTGTTTATAGAATTGCTTTCTAAGATCTCATTCTACCACAATACTTCAAATTGTTTCTTTTTAAAAAGAGATGCTTGCAAGAGATGAAGGATAATTATACTATTAGTGCTTATATTAGCGCTAGATGAAGAAAGCTAGTGCTTGGGACTGGATCTTAAGGGTGTCTAAATACTTCCCAAAGCAGTTGCCTTGACAAGCTGTCCTGAGGTCACTAATCCTTAAAGTGGCGACTGATGCAATGTTCAATTGCCTCCTGTTCGTGTAGCTGAATATGGACATCGACGTTCTCCTTGGTTTTTCCTGAAATCCTCTTTTTGGTTTCAACACCAAAGGGCTGATCATGTGGCCCTTGGGAATGAAATAGATTCAGATTCTTCATCCAACGACTCTTTTGAACCAGTGTCTCCAGAATTCCACGGGAAAGAAGCCATCAGGTAATAAATAAATTACACAAATTGCAAAGGGAGAACAGGTCAGAGACCAGAGGTCTCTCCAGCAAAATACTGGTGTGACAAAGATTTCCTGGGTGCCTCTTTGTACCCACCTACGTCCAGGCCATTCCACTTGTGAAATGCCACCATTAATGTTAAAAGCACTTTGCTTTCCCACATTGTCAGCGTTTATATTTACGAATATCTCATTGCAGAACAACAAACATCAAGGAATAAATAATCTTCATATTTCCATTTCTCTCATTTTCTTTTTGCTCTCTTTTTGGTGCTGTTTTCTCTCTGTGACTGCTGTCTTTATGACAGACACTGTCATCACGTCCCTTGTCATTCTTCTCCTTTTCTCTGTGATTTACTCTGTCTCTCTCCTCTTTGCTTCCTGATGAAGAATAGAAGAAAGAGGCAGGTGATACAGAAAAGGGGAGATGGGCATCCAGAGAGATGGGAGGAAAACCTAAGTTAGGGTACTCAACGCCGTGCATGTCTTCCCTCTGAGATGATAGATGCATTTTATTCAATGCTGATTGCTTTGTTTCTAAACAACTAGAAATCCCTAACTTCCCTGGGTCTTTGCTCAACCTTTGTTCATCATTCAATTTGCCATTGTTTCCTCAGGAAAGCCTTTCCCATCACCTGGGCCCGCGTGAGGGAAAGAGCTCCCAGAACTTTCTCACAACCCCAAAGACTTGAATTCTCAATCCTCTGTCTACATCCACAATGTCCTTAAAAAACATTTTCCTCTTTTTTTTTTTTCAGAATAAGAAATCTTAGGAAAGAATATGGAAAAGGAAATCATGAAAAAATAGAAGCCTTGAAAGGTAATGAGCTAACATCATATTTACACGGCTGTTTGATTCAGTGACTATGCCTCATTGTTGTACTGTCCTCGTGGGGGTAAAGAACTGATATATTCCAGACACCACAATTCTCCTTCATTTCAACACATTGCGTTTCCTTCTGAGTGAATGTAGAACCATAGAACAATTTTAGAAAGTCAGGGTGTGCCATCGATACCTTACAGGTTTGAAAGATGTATGGCTGCATCATGATGTTCTTTATTTTCAACTCGTCCCTAATCCTAATAAATGATCTTTATTATAGTCAGCCTATTTGTAATGACAAAACTGCCCTTATCCAAAAAAATGTTAATCACATAATAATATATCATGACAATGCTATAGCTTTAAAGTTTGTATCATAGGAGATACAATTTTAAAGGGAAGGATTTGGGGATGGATTTTATTTTGAATATTGCTAGCCAAATATACACATGCTCTAAGAAATTATAAAAGTTTTGGAGAATGTGGGGCATCTGAGTGGCTCCGTTGGTGAAGGGTTGGACTCCTGATTTTGGCTCACATCATGAGCTCAGGGTCCTGAGATCGAGCCCCACGTCGGGCTCCACACGCTGCATGGAGTCTGCTTGAGATTCTCTCTCTTCCTCTCCCTCTGCCCCTCCCCCTGCTCTGCTCTCACTCTCTAAATAAAAAAATAAAATCTTGAAAAAAAAATTTATTTTGGAGAATGTAAAGTTAACATGTAGGCTCTGAGTGGGATTTCTTTTTGTAATAATGCCAGGTCTGGTATTTGACATATATGAAGGCCAGATCACTGCCCTCCTTGGTCACAGTGGAGCTGGGAAAACAACCCTGTTAAACATGCTCAGTGGACTGTCCGTCCCAACATCAGGTGAGGAGATAATTAGAGGCAAGAACATGGGCAAATAAATTAACTCTGCATTTTATTAATTAGTTTTATTGGTTAATTTCAATAGTTAGTAGTTTCATTAACTACTAGTCACCCTCAGGTACTTAAGACACAAGTTTCACAAGTTTCTTCAAGTTATTCTTTTAATAGATGTATGTTCTGTTTATTTAGGAAAATCTTGGTGGTTTAAATATTTCAAGATAAGTAGCTTTATGAATGGTCACTCCAACTGGTTCAGATAAATTGTGAACATTACATTTTTAGTCAATAGTGTATTCCTTATAGATCCTGTATGCTTAAAAGACTTTAGTGTTTGGGGGCACCTGGGTGGCTCAGTCGTTAAGCATCTGCCTTCGGCACAGGTCATGATCTCGGGGTCCTGGGATCGAGCCCCGCATCGGGCTCCCTGCTCCGCGGGAAGCCTGCTTCTCCCTCTCCCACTCCCCCTGCTTGTGTTCCTGGTCTCTCTCTCTCTGTATCAAAAAAATAAATAAAATCTTTAAAAAAAAAAAAAAGACCCTAGTGTTTGACACCCATTGTTTTTCATTTTAAAACATCTTAAATGAACCATGGCATGTTATCCTGTTGTTAACTGTCAACTTTTCTACTTCTAGGTTCAGTCACAATCTATAATCACACCCTTTCGGAAATGACTGACTCCAAAACCGTTAGCAAGCTCACTGGAGTCTGTCCACAATCCAATGTGCAATTTGGCTTCCTCACTGTGAAAGAAAATCTCAGGCTCTTCGCTAAAATAAAGGGGATTCAGCCACATGAAGTGGAACAAGAGGTAGAGGAACATATTAGATGTCACACAACCATGAACATGAAATCGTTTATCTAGAAAGTTCTAAATGTATTTGTGTTATTTCTACATGGTGCATCATCGAAAGGGCAAAAAGGCCCTTGGCAACGAACAGCAAAAGGATTGTGTTTTTAAAACAAACATGCTGGGTTTTGGACTAAACATCCTTTTCTCTTCTCTTCTCTCCTCTTCTTTCTTTTTTTCTTTTCTTTTTTGGTTAGATACAACAAGTTTTAAGGGACTTGGAGATGGAAAATATTCAAGATATTCTTGCTCAAAATTTAAGCGGTGGACAAAAAAGGAAACTAACTTTTGGGATTGCCATTTTAGGAAACCCTCAGGTAAGTCGAGCCCTAATTACTGGTGAATGAGCTTGAGGACTGTGGAACTAGTGTATTCCATCCGACTGCATTTGCAAATGGTAAATATAAAAGAATTGTTCAAGTGAAAAATTAAGTAGTAAGATATTTCTCCCAAACACTTTTACACATATATTGCTTTTAAAAAAAATTTACCTGAAAGTGGAAAATGATTTTATGTTTCCCTACTGTGCAGGTTTTGCTATTGGACGAACCAACTGCTGGATCAGATCCTCTTTCAAGGCACTGTGTATGGAACCTCCTAAAAGAGAGGAAATCCGATAGAGTCATTCTCTTCAGTACCCAGTTCATGGATGAGGCTGACATCCTGGCTGGTGAACTTTTTTTTTTTTTTTTTTCTTAGATTCCACATATAAGTGAGATCATATGGTATTTGTCTTTCTCTTTCTCTGATTTATCTCACTTAGCCTAATGCCTTCAAGTTCCATCCATGTCCTTTCATGGTGGTTCTTGGTTTTCTCTCATGTGTCTTAGTGAGAAATTAGGGACATGAGTGAAATATGTGTAGATAAGTTACAACACACCTGCTGTGGGTGTATGTGTGACTTTCATGAAGACAGGAGATTCTTGCTGTTGTCCATTTGAATGTCTACATCTCCATGTACATTGTCCGACAGATGTATTCTGATCCTATTGCAAAGCAACTCATTGGTTGTAAATGTATAGCATACTCTCAAATGTATATTATGTTTTATTCAGTAGGAATGTCAGTTGGCTTGAAACAGATCCTCCCATTGTATGATAATTTTTCTCAACATACTAGAGAATAAACTAACATATATTTAAGTTATTGGATAACAAAGAAATTGGCTTACCTACGACCAGAATTAGAATGCAAATATTTTAGTGGGTCATGCTCCTAAAATGCATTATTTGTTAATGGATTTGTTCTTTTATAAACAGTGAGAGGATAACCTCTTGATACAATGCTTTGTTTTTCTTTTCTGCTTAGATAGGAAGGTGTTTATATCCAATGGGAGGCTGAAGTGTGCAGGCTCTTCTCTATTCCTGAAGAAGAAATGGGGCATTGGCTACCATTTGAGGTACCACCTGTGCTGTTGGAGACATATTAGAACATGTTGCAGACAAGAGATCTCAGTATTAGTATGTGGAAGTAGGCTACAAAATTATTAAGATCCTTTCAAGAGCGCTGTGTTAAAACAACTGATCTCTTTCTTAGCTAGAACGAAGGGCAGGTAGGATTGTAGACATGGAGACTACAAGGATGATTAAGCTCAGTTTAAACAACATTTTTGGAAAATATTTTCACAACACATTGTTTGCAAAGAGAAATTTAGTGACATTCCATCCCTCTCTCAACATTTTTCCAATGCTTCTTTTTGTTCATCGTGACAATTTCAAGTCTCCTCTCTGTTCTCCCTGACTTCATCTTCTCCCTTCTTTTCTATCTTCTCTTCCTGATAGTAATTAATATCATTATTAATTATTATTATTATTAAGTAATGTCTATCACTTATTCCATATTGGCTATGCTCTAGGTTCTTGCTAAGATATTTACATATGGAATACTCATATAATCATATTTAATGCTTCAGATAACTGTAAGAAGATGGTATTTTTAGCCTCTGACGTGTCAGGGAGTTTTAGTAATATACCCAATCTCACATTACTTAAAGTGGTAGAATCTTTGGGCCAAGATTACAGGTGTGATATGAATCTCTCCCTATACTTCCTGCTAAAATATTAGTATTTCTTTTTTTTAAGGTTTTATTTATTTATTTTAGAGAATGAGAGAGAGAGAGCATGAGAGGGGGGAGGGTCAGAGGGAGAAGCAGACTCCCTGCTGAGCAGGAAGCCTGATGTGGGACTCGATCCTGGGACTCCAGGATCCTGACCTCAGCCGAAGGCAGACGCTTAACCAGGGGCCCAATCTTAGTGTTTCTTAAAAAATAATTTAAGGCACTTCATCCTCAGAGGTTAAATGTATTCCGTACATTATTTACTGAGGGTTTAATCTGACCAAATCTACCATTCCATCATAATTGCTTGGTACAATCTAATTGAATCAATACCTTCCAACTAAAATGGACCCCTCACTGTTTTCTAAGTATGTTCTGTGGTTTAGCTGTCTTCTCTCTGCTCAAGGTAGGACGTCTGTTGGACATGTCTTCCTCCAACCCATTTTAGCCAAGTTCAAGTCTTATCCATTCTTGAAAGTCTTTTTTGAATATTTTCTCCTTAATAAGCATCCTCTTTTCTGGAACCCAGGCAGCACTATTTTGAATTGTTGCCTCAGGCAACTTAATTAACCGGTCTTTGATCCTCGGGAATTTCATTTATATAATAGCGGTAATAATACCCACATTGCTTAATTGACTCAACTTCCCTCTTCCTCACTTCTTCTATAACATGCTGCTTTATATTACTGCTGTGTTCCAAGCTCCTCTAGGGAAAGTTCTCTATTCTTTCTGTTGGGATCCTGGATCATGTATTGCACAGGGCCTTGTAAACACAGAATAGTTTTATCTAAAATTGATTTTTTAGGTTTGTTTCATCAAAGTGATGTCCTCATCATTTGATAGCCTCAGTAAATTTCAGTGGATGTGACTAATAATGGTGCTTCTAAAATTTGATGATTTCATGAAGAACTTTACATGTTCTCACCAAGAAGACAGATCAGCTTTGACTTGAATAAATTTTGGACAATAAAAATGATAAAATCAGCTAACATATATTGAAGGTTTACTTGGTGCAAGGCTCTGTGTGATCACATGCATACTTTATATTAATCTGCCTTTTGAAATTCTTTGAGAGCTGAGTATTAGAACACTGATTGGAATGTTAATGGAAATTTGATACTGGAAGACCTTAAGCCTGAGTTCTGGAATGTGGATCTGTGGGACATTAGGACCATGTTCTTTTTTTTTTATTGTTTTGTTAATCACCATACATTACATCATTAGTTTTTGATGTAGTGTTCCATGATTCATTGTTTGTGCATAACACCCAGTGCTCCACGCAGAACGTGCCCTCTTTAATACCCATCATCAGGCTAACCCATTCCCCCACCCCCTCCCCTCTAGAACTCTCAGTTTGTTTTTCAGAGTCCATCATCTCTCATGGTTCGTCTCCCCCTCCAACTTACTCCCCTTCATTCTTCCCCTCCTGCTATCTTCTTCTTTTTCTTTTTTCTTCACATATGTTGCATTATTTGTTTCAGAAGTACAGATCTGTGATTCAACAGTCTTGCACAATTCACAGCGCTCACCATAGCACATACCCTCCCCAATGTCTGTCACCCAGCCACCCCGTCCCTTCCACCCCCACCACTCCAGCAACCCTCAGTTTGTTTCCCGAGATTAAGAATTCCTCCTATCGGTGAGGTCATATGATACATGTCTTTCTCTGATTGACTTATTTCACTCAGCATAACACCCTCCAGTTCCATCCACGTCGTTGCAAATGGCAAGATCTCATTCCTTTTGATGGCTGCATAATATTCCATTGTGTATATATACCACATCTTCTTTATCCATTCATCTGTCGATGGACATCTTGGCTCTTTCCACACTTTGGCCATGGTGGACATTGCTGCTATAAACATTGGGGTGCACGTACCCCTTCGGATCCCTACATTTGTATCTTTAGGACCATATTCTTAATGACTCTATCAAGTTACCCCATGTCTGTGTTCACCATGTTCAAGTCTTAGTTTTTGCAAAACCCATACTTTACTGCAAAGGGGAAATTCAAAGCTGAGCTTTTGGATAGATGGAGACAAAATCAGGCATTTCCTCTACCTCACTTCAGCCAACATCTAGCTGAATATATCTTTCCTCCAAATAATAATCCCTGAGTTATTATCCCTTATACTAGTGCCTCTAGATTATATAGTTTAGACTATATTAATGTGGACTATCTTTGGACTATTTATTTTTAAGTCTTGCTTCTTCCACTAGATTATATATATATATATTTTGTCTCATAAATATTAATGAAGTGACAAACATACTACAGTTGTTTGTAGAGATGGTATTGGATAAAAATAGCATTAACATGCTCTTTTTATATGTTAGTTTGCATCTGAATGAAATGTGTGATCCAGACAATATAACATCACTTGTTAAACAGCACATCCCTGATGCCAAATTAACAGCACAAAGTGAAGAAAAGCTCATATATATTTTGCCTTTGGAGAGGACAAACAAATTTCCAGGTAACAGAACATAGAGACCACAGAATGATTTATAACGTTGTTACTAATGATAATGGTGGCCTCAAGAATGATCGATGACATTTTTATTCTTGCTAAGTGCATGGCACTGTGCATAATCCTTTAATATTCCCCAAAGTTACTGCTAATATTAGCCCCTGATATTATCCCCAGATCACTTATGAGGAAACTGAGGCAAAAGATGCTAAATATGCTTCAAGTGGCAATCTGGGCAGTCAAGAGGTACAGGACCACATCAAGCTAAAATTAAGAATATTTGGGACATTTGTTTCAGGAATGAATGAGAGAACCTGGTCCGGGCAAGGAGGGGGTCTGTGAAAACAGCATAGAGTGTTAAATGGGAGCGAAGGGAATGGTACGCTGCCACATGTAGATGGTTTTATTATAAACACCGTGACATGATGTTATAATCTAAGTAACCGAATGGTAATTATGATCAACCTGTATGTTGCCAAACATTCTAAGCTCACAGCTTTGCCACAAATACGGAAGCCTGGAGGCTCATTGCCATTCCCACTTTTCTACCCGGTCTCCCAATATGATTTCATTTGCCAAGAGTTTTGAGGTAGATTGCATTAAAAAAAAAAAAAAGTATAACCATAGAATGTGTTTATTTTGAGTTCAAGGAATTTGCCAGCTTTTAATGGAGGATAATAGCTCTGGGGCTGCCTGCTTGAATCAATAAGCCTGCCATAATCATGGTTCATAAGGAAATATAGTACTAGACAGTAGGGTGCGGTGATTGAAAGCTGGGATACTAGAGCCAGACTGGGTAGGTTCAAATCCCAGCAGGGCTGTTAGGAGCTCCATTATCCTGGACAGGTTATATTACTTTTCTGTACTTCAATTTCCCTATTTGTAACAAGGGAATAATGACAGTACTAACTTTATAGGATTCTCATGAGGATTAAATGATTTAGTATATTTAAATATATTATTAAAATATTAAAAATAAGCACAGCACCTGGAATCATACCTGACATAGAAGCTACGGTATTTCTCCAAGTCTAAGACAGCCTCAGCTCTAGGATGTGCTACCAAGAAAGAAACAGACAATGACATACCAGCATTTGTGATACATTCTCATTTCAAATATGGTAAAAGATGATGAAATGTATTATCTTAGAATCAGTGATCACTGCAGTCTTAGATGTGTATACCATGTCTTTGATATATGTAACCTATGGAAGCAGAAACCTTTATGAAACCCACAAAGCAAAGTGTTACCTCATTATTTGTTAAATGCATTTCAAAGGGGAATGCACAATTTAAAGAAAGACTGAAAAAGAACCAACACTTAGAAATCATGACTACATCTGTATTTTTATTTATCTAACATACCCTTAAGATAGATACCTTTAATTTCTCCCAATATTTGAATTAGTTTATCCTTTATTCTACTTCACATTTTCCTGAACTTCCCCCAAACTATTCCCAGTATCTTAAAAAAAAAAAAAAAAACCGCCAAATGACCTACTAATCCCTATAAAGACCTACCTTCTTTTTTAAATTTTTTTACAGCATGAGGTCCCTTTTATTTTTTTATTTAAATTCAATTAATTAACATATAGTGTATAATTAGTTTCAGAGGTAGAGTTCAGTGATTCATCAGTTGCATATAACACCCAGTGCTCATTCTATCAAGTGCCCTCCTTAATGCCCGTCACCCAGTTACCCAATCCCCCCAACCTCCCTCCCCTCCAGCAACCCTAAGTGTGTTTCCTATAGTTAAGAGTCTCTTATGGTTTGTCTCTCAAGGCCTACCTTCTTTGAAGTCTCTTCATACCGTGGTCAGAAGCTGAAAAAGAGAGATAGAGTAAATGCAAAGTTACATACATACTTTATCCTTTCCTTTAACTTATATATTTCTCTAAACTAGGGAAGATTGTGCAGCACCTAATTATTTCTATAAACATTAGTTATTTTGCATTTGTTATTTTACTGCCTACTAGTTATTCCTAAGAGCATTCTTCTCTCAGTTTTTAGAATAATATTCCTGAATTAACAAGGTTTTAGAATTTAGTATTTCCTACCTTAGTCAGTTGGGGGTGCTATAACACATACCATAGGCTGGGGGGCTTACAAACAGCAGACTGATTTTTGATGGTTCTGTAGGCTGGGAAGTCCAAGATCTGGGTTCCAGCACCTTGGGGTTCTAGTGAATTACCTCTTTGGGGTTGCAGAGTGCAGACTTCTTGTATTCCCATTTGGCAAGGAGCAGGGAGAGGAAGCCAGCTTTCTTGTGACTCTTTCAAAGGCATTAATCCCATTAATCAAAGCTCCACCCTCAGGACTTCATCTAATCCTAATTACCTCCCAAAGCCCCCACCTCCTAATACCATCACACCTGGAGGGTAAGGTTTCAACATACGGATTTATGGGAGACCCGCAAGCATTCAGTTCATTTATTACACTCCCCATTATCAAACAGAATTAATTTTTAAAAAACAGAATAAATAAAACATAATATTTCTTAAAGAACTCTGCATATGTAGCTTTCCAAGAATGAAACATAGATGATTACAATTTTATACTCAAGACATGGACACACACTGTATAGGTTATTTTAGAAATAAGGGAATGTCTATATCATATCTTTGTTTCTTATGAATGCTTTTGGACTATCACACATGTTCTCTATTGTTGAAAAATATAGTTACTATCAATCTCTTTACAAATTATATTCTTCTAATGCATTTTTGTGACTACTTTTAGATCTTTACAGGGATCTTGACAGATGCTCTAACCAGGGCATTGAGAATTACGGTGTTTCCATGACAACTTTGAATGAAGTGTTCTTGAAATTAGAAGGAAAATCAGCTATTGATGAATCAGGTAAAAAAAAAAAAGAAGAAGAAGAAGAAACTTCAATTTTATCTTTCTGTAGAATATTCTATCTTGAAAATATACTTTGAATGATGAGACTGTATGCTTTTGGAGGTGCTCTGATTCAGTCTGGTCTTGGGAAAACTTAGAGCAGAGAAGAGATGTATTTCTATCTCCTTCTTCCCTTTTCTCCCAATGCTGGTCCCCCCTCTTAAATTCCTTATTTTGTACTATGCATTTTACTAAGGGTATGGGATATAGCAGTGTATAAGACTAGGTCCTCATGGAGTAGACAATAAATATATAATGTAAGTGCTATAGAGAGAAGGAAATTAAAATTGTATCTTGACAGTTAACTTTTCTTGTAACATTTTGAGGCTATTTTTCCAGTATCTTCAGGGTTACATTGTTGTTATTGGAAGATTTGCTGTGGGTATAATTGCCATTCCTTGGAAAGTCCTCTCTACTTGATCTAAGATAATTCCTTGTTTCTGGATTACTCTCATCCTACTTGGTTTACTCTTTTCTATGTTCTTTTTTTTTTCCCATTTTCTATTTTTTATTGATTGAGTGGGTTTTTAAAAATACCTCTTTCCCTCTTTTATCCACTTTTGAAGTTATATACTTGTGGTTATGCTTAACTTTTAATATACATATACTATAGCTTTCTCAAAGTCTAGAGCTGATCAGTTTCTCTAGGCTTGTCTTCCAAAAGAGGTAACTTTTTTCTTGTTTTCAACCATGGCTACATGAAAAAATATTATCTCTACCAATTTTATATCCTTGGAAGGGGATGGGGAGGGTTCTATATATATACCAACTCTTCCACCTTAGTCAGAAATACCGATAGTTTCAGTCACCTCCCCAGAAAGCTGTGAACTGAGTGTAGCATGGAAAAGAGCCTACCGAATCTTCAGATGGATTTTAAAATTGAACACACTTGGGATGGTTTTCCAGTGAAGCATGAGCCAGTGTTTGTCAGGCTGAATCCAGGTGATGGAGGGGTGATGATGGAAGTTAGTGCTCCATTTTTCAATGATCCTCCCGCCCCACTTGGAGAACCAGGAAAACCTTACAATGAACTCTAGGATTATGAAGTTGTGGAAACATTTTTCTTGAATGACATAACTGAAGAGTATTTAGAAGTTGAACTTTGTCCTCATGGACAACATTTAGTGCTCTTACTCTCTGGAAGAAGAAATGTGTGGAAACAAGAACTTGCTCTGTCATACAAAGTGTCTAGAGGAGAGACAGAATGGGAAGGCAGAGCTTATCTTCCTTGGAGTTATTTTCCACTAAATGTGACAAAATTCAATTCATTTGCAATTCATGGATCAAAAGATAAAAGAAACTATGAAGCTCTTTACCTTGTACCTCAACATGAACTGCAACAAGGACAAAAACCTGATTTTCATCGTCTGGAATACTTCAAGCCTTTCAGTTTTAATACACTGCTTGGAGAAGAATGGAAACAACCAGAATCAGAGCTGTGGTTAATAGAGAAACCTGATGTATAGGAGTATAGTAGATGATCATATCAGTCATTTCTTCTCTGTATCTTTTAAGATTCAATACAATCCCAGTTAAAAATCCCAAAAGGCTTTTTTGGGGAAAGAGAGAAAGAGACATTAGACTTCACCAAAATCAAAACTTTCTGTTCATCAAAAGCTTCCATTAAAAAAGTGAAGAAGCAAGCCACAGATTGGAATAAAATATTCAAAATATCTGTATGTGACAAAGAACCTCTTACCCAGAATATATGAAGAACTCCTATAAACCAGTAATAAAAGGAGAAGCCAGTTAAGGACACTTCACAGAAAAAAAATATACAAAAGGCCAATAAGTATATAGAAAGTCAACATCACTTATCATCAAGGAAATGCAAATTAAAACCACAAGATACCACTAAATGACTAAAATTACAAAATATACACACTGGTTAAATGGTTAAAACTGAAAAAGACTGACAATATCAAGCAATAATGGGAATGTAGAGTACCTAGAACTTTCATACGCTATGGATAGGAATGTAATATATGGTACAACCACTTTGGAAAACTGGAAATTTCTAAAGTTAAATACACACCTACTCTGTGTTTCAGCAGTTTCATTCTTAGTTATATATTCAAGAGAAATGAATGTTTATGGCAGCTTTATTCATAACACAAAACTATAAACAATCAAGTTTCTATCCACAGGAGAATGGATAGACAAACTGCAATATAGTCAGATAGTGGAATAACACTTAAGAAAACGAATGGACTACTGGTACATGCAATAACCTACATAAATCTCAAAAGCATCACATTGAACAAAATAAACCAGGTACAACATTCTGCATAACCGTCTATATGAAGGCCAATTGTAGGCCAAACTAGGCTGTAGTGATGCATCTCAGAACAGTGATTGCTCTGGGTGAGGGCAGGGGATTAAAATTAGTTGGAAAAGGGACATGAGGGAATTTGGCGGCGGGGGGCGGGTAGTAGTTGGAATGTTTTGTATCTTGATCTGGCTGACAGTTACTGCATACATTTATCAACATTCCCCAAGCTGTATATTTAAGATTTGTGATTTTACTATATGTAAATTATACCTTAATAAAATATTGTTATAAAATA